GGACGCATCGCGTTGCGCAAGAATAGCTAAAAAGACGGCGCCCATGGGAACAGGGGGAGACTGTCATGAAAGCGGAAAAGACGCGCCCTGCATGTTAGGTGCTGTTGGGTGTGGACAGAACTACAATCACTAGAGTAATTTATATATATGATAAGAAAAGGAAAGGGGAGGATGAGTTATCGATAAGGATGCCATTATATTGGGGAGATTAAGACATGATATATGATGCGGTAGGAGTAGGGAGGTAGGATAGGTAAAAAGATAGGAGCATAAGGTGCGTGTAAGATATAATAGGGGGGAGAGACATCAAGTGAAGATATAAGGTGCATTTATATTGGATGATATGATTATTATGTTGTCTTGTATATTCATACTCATATTTAGGCCATTATATAGGAGTGTTAGAGGAGATTGGTATGACTAGGAAGAGGGATAGAATAGGAGATATAATTGATGTCGGAATACGTAATAGTAATTATGCGTGGATATTGATTATGGAGATGTGAGCTGTACTTATTGATTATTTGCGTGAGTGGTTAGTTATGTGGGATTAATGAAAGAATGTGAGAGATAATACATAGATGGGGTTATATATAGTATATGAATTAGATTATATGTCATAGCGATCAGATTATGTGAATATGTACGGAATAGGGTAGATATTTAGTTAGTTGTTCTATTTATGTGATTGAGTGCAGAAGATAATATGTTATATAATGATAGTATGAGATAGTATTTATATTGTTGTATTATATTATATATTTATATATTATTATATTATTTATATTATAATTATTATATTATATTACTTTATATTATAATATATTATATATATTATATTATATAATATAATTATAATATAATATAATAATATATATATACTATAATATAATAGTATTATAATAATATAATATATATATTATATTATTATAATATTATTATATAATATATTATATTATAATTGTATATTATATTATTACGAAATAATTACGAAATAATTACGAAAATTGGAAAAAATTGTTTCGATTCTTAATTACTCCTCACACTATTCCTGCATGGCTCGATATTGGATCGTAAGCTAATTTAAATACGAATTAATAACGAATTACGAAATTAACGAACTGGATCGCCCAAGCTTATTGCTTACCCAGGCCTTGGATCAATGTATTCCTGATTTTCTGGATTGCATTAGACATGTGTGGACTTTGTTTTTATGGGCTTTGCTGAACTCTACCTTGGATTAATTTGGTCCTGCTTATCTTCTTACCTAATTGGATTTGCCTATTTCTTTAAAGTGCTTTTTACTTAGATGCTTTTTTACTTATCTTCGATAAAAGGATTGTTTTTCCTACTCGATGCCCATTAAAAATCCTTTACCTGTGGACGTATTGGAGCTGGTGGAGAGAGTCGATGGCCAGGACCATTTCGGCCAAGTAGAAGCAAGCCATCTCTTCGGGCAAACGGTCCTCGAATTTGCTCAGGAGGGTGAGCAGGTCTCCGCCGGCGTAGTAATCCATGACTAAGTACTGCAAAAAAAGAAGAAGAGGAGGAAAAAATGGGCAAAAAGAGCTGGGTACGTTTTTTCGGCTTCGAAAGTCATCATGTCAAAATGAATACAGTTTGATTCCACTTGAACTCAATGGTAGTGAATCCTGGGAGTTGTAGTTTCACAAGGACTTTGCATCCCTACCAAGCTACAAATCCCACGACCCTGGAGCATTGACCCATAGCAGGGAATCCTGGGAGATGTAGTCTCACAATATATTTGCATCCCTACCAAACTACAAATCCCATGGTCCTGGAGCATTGACCAGGGAATCCTGGGAAATGTAGTTTCACAAGGTATTCACAGTCCTACCGAACTACAAATTTCAGAGCAGTGGTCCATGGAAGGGAATCCTGGGAGATGTAGTCTCATAAGGTCTTTGCATCCCTACCAAGCTACAAATCCCACGGACCTGGAGCATTGACCCAGGGCAGAGAATCCTGGGAAATGTAGTTTCACAAGGTATTCACACTCTTACCGAACTACAAATCCCATGGTCCTGGAGCATTGACCCATGGCAGGGAATCCTGGGAGATGTAGTCTCACAAGATATTCACAGTCCTACCGAACTACAAATTTCAGAGCAGTGGTCCATGGAAGGGAATCCTGGGAGATGTAGTCTCACAATATATTTGCATCCCTACCAAACTACAAATCCCATTGTCCTGGAGCATTGACCCATAGCAGGGAATCCTGGGAGATGTAGTTTCACAAGGTATTCACACTCTTACCGAACTACAAATTTCAAAGTAGTGGTCCATGGAAGGGAATCCTGGGAGATGTAGTCTCACAATATATTTGCATCCCTACCAAGCTACAAATCCCACGGTCCTGGAGCATTGACACATGGCAGGGAATCCTGAGAGATGTAGTTTCAAAAGGTATTCACAGTCCTACCAAACTACAAATTCCAGAGCAGTGGTCCATGGCCATGAATCCTGGGAGCTGTAGCTTCACAAGGTATTCACAGCCCTACTGAACTACAAACATTCCAGAGCAATGGTCCATGGCAGTGAATCTTGGGAGTTGTAGTTTGGCACAGTCCTTTGCCTTCTCTTTGTGAGTTTGACTGTAATAATAATAATAATTATTATTATTATTATTATTATTATTATTATTATTATTATCTGTCCAAGAGGGCTGGGGACTTACCAGACTACAACGCCCAGGGTTCCATGGCAGTGAATCCTGGGAGTTGTAGTTTGGCACAGTCCTTTGCCTTCTCTTTGTGAGTTTGATTGTAATAATAATAATAATAATGTTGTTGTTGTTCATTCGTTCAGTCGTCTCCGACTCTTCGTGACCTCATGGACCAGCCCACGCCAGAGCTCCCTGTCGGCCGTCACCACCCCCAGCTCCTTCAAGGTCAGTCCAGTCACTTCAAGGATCACCTCTGAGGTCACTACCTCTGAGGATGCTTGCCATAGATGCAGGCGAAACGTCAGGAGAAATGCCTCTAGAACATGGCTCTATAGCCCGAAAAAACCCACAAGAACTTATTATTATTATTATTATTATTATTATTATTATTATTATTATTATTACTGTCCAAGAGGGCTGGGGACTCACCAGACTACAACTCCCAGGGTCCCATAGCACTGAACTATCCATGGTGGGGTTAAAGTGGTCTCAAACGACATTAAATCCCCCTTGAACCGTTGCTTACCAAGTAGTGCTCATCTTGGAAGGCGTAGTGCAACGTGGTGATCCACTGCTGGTCCCCGTGAACGAGAACATCGCGCTCCTCCCGGAAACAAGCCGTCTGTAAGGAAACAAAGGTGATAAAAGCAGGGAAACCAGAGCAATCCGATCTGTTACATGCCTTCCCATGAATTGTATAGAACCAGGTATTTGTGGCCGGTCTCCCACCCAAATCCTAACCAGGGCCGACTCTGCTTAGCACCCAAAATCGGGGAAATGGGGGGCCAACCTCTGCTCTTTTCAGCATTTCCCATTTGTGCAGTATCTTCATGGCGTAGACCTTGTCCGTCTCCTTCATCCGGACCACCGCCACCTAAGAAAGAATAAATTAAGAATGTTTGCATATGCATAATGAGATTCCTTAAAGAGATGGGACCCACCTTAGAGGCTCTTGATACAGAAATGTCTCATGTTTTGGATTATTGAATATTTGCATCTATAGCAGTGAAATTTGCAAATGCTAAGCAAGGGGCTTTGAATGAGATTTGACATGTAGAGGTCGGAAGTTGTGTTGTGGTTAACTTCAAAGGTTGTGGTTAAGTGCAGAGTCTGCAGATACAAGAAGGTACTTTCCATCAAGGGGCTGGAAAGAGAGTACTTTCCATTAAAAAAATGTTCTTGTTTACTTGAGGTTATATATGGGTGGTCAAAAGTCAAGGGGAGGCAGCAGTCACTTGAAAGGTAGCATCTGCATATGCTGCCAGGTTGTCCGTCTTCTTCATGAAGAAACTAAAATAAACCTTGTTTTTTGATCTTTTTTGGGACTGTCTCCTTCCTTTCGTGCTCTCGTGATGTGGACCTAAGAAGACCCAATTTAGGGTCTCTAACAGCATGATATATCTTAATTATCTTATATCGATATATTATGCCATTATTATTATTATTATTATTATTATTATTATTATTATTTACGACATTTATATGCCACCCTTCCCAACTCAAAGTGGCTTACAAGTAATACATAAACACAATATATTACATTATATTATTATTATTATTATTATTATTATTATTATTATTATCGACATTTATATGGCGCCCTTCCCAACCCAAACAGGCAGATACGGGCCACTCACCTCTCCAAACGCCCCTCGGCCAATCACCTTCAAGATCTCGAAGTCATCTCTGCGAAGAAGCAGCTGCTTCGCTTTGGTGGCCAAAGGAGTGGCTAGAAGGAGAAAAAAAACAAAATACTTCCATTGTGAGTGAGTGGACTGTCTACAGATGTCAACATTGAGACTGAAATACAACATCGCCTGAGCTCTGCGAGTGCAGCATTTTTCCAAATGAAGCAGAGAGTGTTTGAGGACTGGGACATCCGTAGAGAGACCAAGGGGCTTGTTTATAAAGCTATCGTCCTCCCAACCCTGCTATATGCCTGCGAGACGTGGACTGTCTACAGTTGTCAACATTGAGACTGAAATACAACACCGCCTGAGCTCTGCGAGTGCAGCATTTTTCCGAACGAAGCAGAGAGTGTTTGAGGACTGGAACATCCGTAGAGAGTCCAAGGTGCTTGTTTATAAAGCTATTGTCCTCCCAACCCTGCTGTACGCCTGTGAGACGTCGACTGTCTACAGACGTCAACATTGACACGGAAATACTACACCACCTGAGTTCTGCGAGTGCAGCATTTTTCCAAATGAAGCAGAGAGTGTTTGAGGACCAGGACATCAGTAGGGAGACCAAGATGCTTGTTTATAAAGCTATCATCCTCCCAACCCTGCTATATGCCTGCGAGATGTGGACTGTCTACAGATGTCAACACTGAGACTGAAATACAACACTGCCTGAGCTCTGCAAGTGCAGCATTTTTCCGAATGAAGCAGAGAGTATTTGAGAACCAGGACATCCGTAGGGAGACCAAGATGCTTGTTTATAAAGCTATCGTCCTCCCAACCCTGCTATATGCCTGCGAGACGTGGACTGTCTACAGATGTCAACATTGAGACTGAAATACAACACCGCCTGAGCTCTGCGAGTGCAGGATTTTTCCAAATGAAGCAGAGAGTGTTTGAGGACTGGGACATCCTTCGGTAGACCAAGGTGCTTGTTTATAAAGCTATCGTCCTCCCAACCCTGCTCTACGCCTGTGAGACGTGGACTGTCTACAGACGTCACGTGCAACTCCTGGAACGATTCCGTCAGCGCTGCCCCCAGAAAATCCTGCAAATCTCTTGGGAAGACAAGCGGACAAATATCAGCGTGCTGGAAGAAGCAAAGACCACCAGCACTGAAGCAATGCTCCTTCACCATCAACTCCGCTGGACCGGCCACGTTTTCCGGATGCCCGACCACCGTCTCCCAAAGCAGTTGTTCTATTCCGAACTCAAGAACGGAAAACGGAATGTTGGAGGGCAGGAAAAGAGATTCAAAGATGGGCTCAAAGCTAACCTTAAAAACTCTGGCATAGACACTGAGAACTGGGAAGCCCTGGCCCTTGAGCGCTCCAGTTGGAGGTCAGCTGTGACCAGCAATGCTGCAGAACCTGGAAATCAATGCCCTCACTGCAGGAGAAGATGCAGATCAAGAAGAGGGCTCCATGGTCACCTACGGACCCACCAGAACACGGATCGAGGAAGACTATCCTACTCAGCCAACGAGGGATCGCCTAATTGTTTTGGATCAGAACTCAAAGAAGGCATTAGTGGAGTCATCCATATGACCAAATGCCTTGAGTTAACCTTTAGTCCTAATAATAATAATAATAATAATAATAATAATAATAATAATAATTTATTTGTTTATTTATTTACTGCATTTGTATACCGCCTTTCTCAGCCAGAGGTGAC